GAGAAACACAATTAAATGTCTCTTCAGTCAAAGAGCTTTACATATAGTCTCATTACTTCCATTTTTATATAGTTGTTTTCTTTACATAGCTAGAACATACTAAGAGAATCAGTAGCTTCCAGACTTTTGGATGTCAGACACCAAAAACTTGTGGAGACTGATAGAGTTGCCAGTTTTTTATTAATGCCAGTTGGCATTAAAAGAACAAATGCCAGGGCCAGCCAGTTAGCATGGTGCTTAAAGTGTCTTGATTGAACCACATGGCCAGCTGAGTGGTTCAAGCCCTGGACCTGACAGCTTGGAAAATATGCTAGGCATGTATAGGTGTGTGCCCAAAATCCTGAGAAGAGAATGGAGAAGGATGGATTGCAGTGTGGCTATGCCCCTCCCTCAAGGGGGTGATTCTTTCTTTGTCTTTCTGTCTCTTTGACAAGGACACATGCCCTATAGCAAAATATTTTTTTAAAAAAAGAAAAGAAATGCCAACTAATTAAAAATGGGTTTGTAAAGGATATATAAACACTAAAAGGAAGTGGTAAAAGGCATTATCTCAAAATGATGAACTTGACATTGAATGAAATTGATTTTATCATAAACTTTTTTTTTCTTATTTTTTTCTTGTTACCACAAACTTGTGGAAACTTCATTAGACCATTACTGGTACAAAGACTGTTGTTTAGAAGCCAGTAATAAAGTGAAGAGAGAATGTGACTAACTCTATTCGTTCGTGTAAATTATACTTACATTAAAGAAGCTGTATAAAGAATATTCTTCTACCCAGAATGATAGCCTCCACACATACCTAGCTACCCTCAGAGTCCCTAAATAAATGAAGTTCCCACCTCTCCTTTTACCATCTCTCTCTCTCCCTTTTTATTTATTATTCTAGCACATTGACTTCTGAATGATTCTGTCCTTGATTTTGACTGCAGGACAACAGACCAAGTAAGATAGATTTGGTCGGTCCTATAGTAAGCACACATGAACAAGCCTAAGTTATATCTCGCTTAACAATGGGGATACATTCTCAGGTTCTCATTGGCCTATTTCATTGTCGTGCGAACATCATAGAATGCATTTAACACAAACCTGAGGTGTAGTCTCCTACACATCTAGGCAACATGGGATAACCTGTATGCTCCTAATGGGACCACCATCATACATGTGGCTCCTCACTAATCAAAACATTGTTATATGTAGTACATGAATATACCTGAAATTATTTACTATACTCCCCATTACATCTCTAATAGAAAAGGATGTGCAATGTAAGATTTAGACCTTAATCTTTGCAGACCTAGGCCACTCAACTGTTATTTACCAACCATCTACAAAACTATCATTGGGAAAATATGTGGTCTCTGCCCTAAGAATTTATAGATAACTAAGTAGTACATGAACCACAATAGCAGGATGATAGTTTAAGTGATAATGTTGTTTAAGTAATGACCTTTAAGTTTCTTTCATGAGAGACAGGGAAAGACAGACCCTTCACAGGGGCTCAAGCTACATGCTTCCTCAGCAGCCTTCTTGCCACCAAGGATCCTGGGTGTGTGCAACCAGCATTTACAGATCAATGGAGAAACCAAACCCACCATCTTCTCTATAGATCATCACCTCTTGACCATCTGCACTACCAAAGCAGCCCAGCTAATGATTTATTGCTGTGCATGGTTTGAGAGAGATCTCTGCCAAGTGATAGTAGGGAGGACCTTCAAATAAATGATTGATATGAGCTCAAAATGGAAGGTATTTTAGGTATATGGATTTACAAAAGATACCTGTATAGATAAGCTTCTTTTTTATAGACTACAATTTTGAAGTTTTAAAGATGGGACACAGAATTAAAAAGTGTCAGGGCTAGATGGTACTTCAAAAAATTAGTTACCTTTTTTAAAGATAGGAATTATGGATGGTCCTCCATTCTTCTCCAAACTAAAAAGAAAACATTTTTATTAAATAATAAAATAAATGAAGACATAGTGCACCGAGAAAGATATATGAACACTTACTCTGGATACAATATTCACTACCTAAATGGCTTATTTCATACGTATTGCCTATACTAAGTATGCTACCTAGAGTTATTTTATATTGAGTCACTCGTTTGCTATACATTCACTCCAAACATTTGAAACATTAAATCTGCTTGAAGTGATCAGAGAAAACTTCATGGAAGAAGAGACACTTCAGCTGACTTGAACAAAGTAGATCTGAGAAAGGAGCCCACTTAATTCTCACAAAGTTGCCATACAGGCTAACCATGGGAGTAACTGGGTAAAATACTACTTAACCATGATTTTTCTTAAATTAATTCAATTAATTTTTGAACCAATGAGAATTAACATTGTCAATTATAGCAAGTATAATTTAGATTTCCTGGCTTATATAAAATTAGTTAAGTGCTTTTCAAAGAATAAAAATTAAAGTGACTCTAAAGATAATCTCATCTTTTTTTTTTTTTTTGAGAGGTTTTTGCTATAGGGTGCTTTCTGTCTCTCTCTCTGTCTGTCTGGCAAAGGCACGCACACAGCCTTGCCAGACAGAGAGACAGAAAGCGAGAAATCACCCCCTGGGGGGATGGCCATGCCACAATCCCTTCTCCACTCTCCTCTCAGGATCTTGGGCATGCACGCACACGCGCCCGGCATGAGTTTTAAGCCACCGGGTCCGGGACTCGACTACGTGGGAGTCCAGTGACATACCCATTACGCTAACTGCTGGTCCCGATAATCTCATCTTTATACATAGAATTGATTTATACTACTACAATACACTTAGATCCTAGTCTCTTCTATGATCACAGAATGAATAATATATCATGAGTAGTTTTATTTCTTATACATGAATATCGCTATTTGCAGAGATTTGTAATTCAGCCTCATCTACAGAAGAAAATATGTCTGTAAAGAGATTCTTTTCTCCTCCATTTTTCCCATCTTAAGTTCATGCTGAAAACGCCAACATTGAGGCATACTCCTCTGAGCAAATGTCTGAAAGATTTAACTATAACTCCAACCACAAGGACTGATTTAGCTCTGTTTCTGCCCTTGGAGTTTGGTCTAGCTTTGGGTTAAGTCCAGAAAACCCAATAGATGCTAAAGTCATGGTGGTAGTCCTGGTTGGCTTAGATTTCTCAAGTGTGCCCTTAGTCTTCTCAAAACTGGCTTCTGAGGTCACACAAGCAGTAGAGGCAACCAGTCTTCCCCAAGCTTTTCTAAAATGTGCACAGTCTTGGGTAGACAGGATCCCCAAGATCTGATTATAGTTTCATCTGCACCATTTTTCATGCTGAGTTAGAATTAAAACAGGTTTTGGCAATGGGCATTTAGAGTGGAGTTTATCCTGTATTATACAGGACATGTATTTATATCCCAATAGTTTTCCTTGTTTGATCTTCTGTCACAGGTAGATGGCCAGGAAAGAGCTGGCAGCCCTGATACAATGGCAGAAGGACATCTGTCTCAGCAGTCATAGCTTATCAGAGGATATTTCAAACTTCCTCCCGGGGATGCCTTACTCCTTCCCCCTGGGAAGCTG